GGGTGCATTAAGACACATGTCATGGGTAACCGTTCCAGTATCTTTCTGAATCCCCTAATTTCAGCTGTCATTAATGCTTATAATCATGACTAATTATTTCTCTCTCTTACTGTTTACGCTTTCAAGAAAAACTATTTAAACTCAAATCTCACTTTTTACATTCACTTCTTTTTACTCTCTAAATACTTTCTATCGTTTCAAGTTCGTATTTTAAAAAAAAACCTTTCATCTTCCTCAAAATCTTGTGTGAACAATGGCTTCTTCAAGTGTCCAAAACATCAGTACTCAGGAATCTGCTTCAATGGAACAATACGAAGAACCTTACAGAACACTACTCACTCCCATTGATAATCTGAAAGTTCTTTCATAACTGATTATTGACTTTGAAAGCTTGCAAGAAAACGACTTCAATCTGTATGAAGACGTTACTGCTCAAGGTTGGAATAGATACTTTGACCGTCTTATGGGGCCAACATTTCCAATTCTTGTCAAAGAATTCTGGATACATGCTTCTTCTTCAAATCATCAAGTTACCTCTTATGTCACGGGGAAGAAAATTGTCATTACAGAAGACCTTATTTCAAAGCTTATTGGTTACAATGGTGGAGGTGTCAGATGCATTGACATGGCTGAGAGATGCTCTGGCGTAGGCTCTATTGCAAGGGAAATATTTACTCATGGGCTTCCCTCCAGCAAAATACGAGATCTGAAGGATCACCATAGAATTTGGGCAAAAATTATTCTGGGGTGTATCAACCATAGGAAGCCAACTAGCTCTCCTGATTATATCAACATTGATCAGCAGTTTCTGATCTATTTCATTACCAAGAGGACTAAGGTAAACCTCTCACACTTGTTGTTTAATCATATTAGAACTAGTGTGAAGGAAACAAGAGAAGATGAACGAACCAAAAGGGACTGGATACCCTTAGGAAGACTCATATCAGATATTCTGACAGAGAATAGGCTGATAGAACATTTGACTGAAGCCCAGGAAATCAGCACTTTGGAAGCAACTGCTGAAAAGCCCCTGAATGCAAAAAATCTGAAGAAGATGAAAATCATTGAGAATATCAAGAAGGAACCTACTATTACTTCTCATGCAACCATCACTTCAAGAAGGATATCTCTGGATGATTTTCCTCTATTTTCTGATATTGACTCCAAGCCAGAAATAATAGTCAGATATCTGGACGCTTACAAGGAAGATGGTATTGCACCAGAAATCAATATCCAGGACTTACACAAGGCTGCTCCAGAAGTTGCTTTAAAGAAGACCAAGAAGAGGAAAGCTGCAGCTGAAGGACCATCTCAGAGGACTCCAAAAGCTTCCAAAAAGAAAGGTAATCCTTCCTCTGTCTCTGTTCAAGAATCAATAAACGTATCAACATCTGAAGTCATGCCTACTCAACCAGAACATCCAACTCCACAAACATTTGAAGACTTTGACATAGGGTTTGATCCATCAGAAACTCTAGGTCTGAATGAAACTCACTCCCTTTCTCATAATCCAAATCCTGCACAAACCCAACCAGAACTTACCAAAGTTCTGTCTGATATTGATTCATTTGACTAAGACTTTTCAGCTCCTGTACCATAAAATCCAAATTCTCAACTCCCTGAAAATCCAAACTCTGATACCACACCAGAAATTCTGCAACCTCTCTCTCCACAACAAGAAATTCCCCAAACATAATCACCTCAACTTGAAATACAACAACCAGAAGCTCAACCTTCTGAGAATCAATCTTCTGATATCCATGAACCAGAACCTCATTCAGATTCTGAAACAATCCCAATACCTAGAATCACAGAACCACTTGCTATTCGCATGCCTCTCACCATCCACGACATTCCAGAAATTCCTTCATCTCTGGAATCCACACCACCAAACTCCCCTACCAGTCCAATCATCATACCAGACTCTCCCACTCCTTCACCCACTAGCAGTCCAGCTGACAACGTAAGACTTGTCATTGATCCAATTGTGCTGAAAAGACTAGCTTCTATCACTCACAAAACTGCCATTCCCAAACCTAAACCATCTGAAACCACATCAGATGTTGATACAAGTTTGTTGATTTTTGAAACAGGAATACAGGAATGGATAAATTCTTTGAAGCACGCTAGTCAAGAGATGACTAATCCTGCTGCTTCTGATTATATGTGGACAAAATTCAGAAATTGGCTTAGTTTTGAAACGCTAAAGCTGAAGGAACAAAGTTATGAACGGGTTCAGCAGAACTTTAGTGTTAAGCTGAAAGCTTTTCAAGACCAAGTTATGAGCCAACTGCTCAAGAAAGATATCCGCTCTCTAGATAATGCCCCCTGGACAGAGCATCATCTCTCAGATGAAGTTCAACCAGAATCAGAAAGTCTCTCCCTGACTGCTGCTCCAGAAGACATGATCACAGCAGAAGAAATGGTTCACTCTGAACAAGCTGCAGAATGCTCTGAGAAACGTCCAACTCCTGAAGAAACTCCAGCACCTTCCTTAGTCATGCAAACTCTGGAAGAGTTGAAGAAAGAAAATGCTCTAATCCATGCAAGGTTGGATAAGTAGGAGGACACGAAAAAAGAGATTAAAAGCATTTTGGGCAAGCAAGAAGAGTCTAATTCTCAGATCAAGAGCTTGCTGGAAGATTTGTTCACACGTCTTCCTCCTCCTTCTTAGATTTTTTGTTTTAAATCTGTTTATCTGTAACGCTTAATTTTTTACCTTTTCTGTTTTGGAACTTATCATTGCATCATGTTTTCTTTTAATATAATTCAACTATTTTGGCTCTGATTATATTGCCTTTTTGATAACTGACAAAAAGGGGGAGAAAGTAGATATTTTCAATAACGGTTTACCGAGACAGAAGTCTCAAACATTCTGAATTACTTAACCTCTATCTTCTGAAAAGTTTGAACAGGTACAAATTCTGATGAAAGATGCAACTAAATTCTGATGCTCAAGGAACTTAAGGGAAGTAATCAACTCAGGGGGAGTTTCTCTTAAACTTTTTATTCTTTATTTTTAATTGAAAAAATCTAGTTTTCGTCATCATCAAAAAGGAGGAGATTGTTAGAACATAATTTGATGATACAACCCTTAGTTAGAGTTTTGATGATAAGAAATACAAAGAATAAATAATAAATACAAAGAACAAATATGCACCCTAAAAATTATGTTTTATGAATGCAGAAGTTCTGACCATAGCAGCATCAGAAGATAAGCCATAAGAGCTACACGCTGAAGCAATCAGAATATGCACTGAAGATTGATGACCAGAACCTGCGCTTAAGCAAAGTAAACTCTGATTCTGAATAGGAACATGGCAATCCAAGTCATCAATATTCTGAAGCGTCATCAGCAAGTAAGGAGTTAAGATTCTGAAGCGTTACTGATCATTCATAACAGCATCAATTCCAACGATTTCTTTCAGACAGGATCTTCTCCAAATGGAAAGTGTGTTAATGACATTAAACATGCTTGATGATCAACGTTATTCCACTGCCTATATAAACAAAGTCAGCATTCAAAATCAATAACGATTTTTGCTAAATAACCACTCACGCATATTCAAAGCTGCAAGCAATATTCTTTATATTTCCAAGCTATAATCCTGTGTAATTTATCACAGTTGTGATAAACAGTTTTTGTTAGAAAAACAACAACACATATCTTGTATAATTGTATTGAAACAGTGTTCCTTGAGATTAATCGGACTGTGGTTGCACTCAGGAAGACTTTAACAATTGTTAAAGTAGCTTTTGTAATCTTGTTGAGATTAGTGAATTAAGACCTCGTTGGAGAGAGGCGAAATCACCTTGACGGGTGGACTGAAGTAGTTTGAGATCAAACGAACCAGGATAAAAATACTGTGTCATAGAGCTTTTAATTTCAAGTTTGTCAATTCAACCCCCCTTCTTGTGTTTTTCACATCTTCATTAACTAGTTTGTTCACTTGATGTTTCAGAGTTTGTTCTAAGGTAGAGATTTGTAGTATTGGATCGAACTCTAGTCTCGATATGTGTAACTTGTATGTGCATGTTGTAGTTCAAGTCTGTTCAAAACGTGCAGTAATCGAAAATGTGCATGGTGCAGTCGAAGTCTATTGAAGCATGCAGTGGTCGAAGTTAATTTATGTATTATGTTATGTAGTAGCTATATATGTCATGTATGAGAGTTGTCATCATACATTACATACATGTATTAGTAGTCTGTAATTCAGCTGCTCTCTCACTTGTTAGGAGATACAGTAGGTTGATTGTTATTTTGTTTCACTTGTAATAATTTAACACTCAATAAAAAAGTGAACGCAATAATCATTTAAACCAAATCTGCTTTCCCCCTTTCTTCTCTCTTTTTTCCATCTCTGTGTATTGATTAGTTTCGTGTTTGATAAAAAAACTCTCTCTATCTTATAGTTTTATTTCATTCTTGACATCAATTATCACAACAAATTCAAATTTACGACACTTCAATTATTCAATGAGTGTCCTTAGAGCACTCGTTAGTATTTTGTTTCAATTTTAAGAAAGGTGAAATTCAAGTCATATACCAGTAGTATTTGATAAAAATAATCCTCTACAATTGGATTTCACTACATATGTTGTACTTACTCCTTTCTTGCAATTTGTCTTTTCAATTTATTTATTTTTGGTACTTACCTACTTCTAAGCACTTTGTCATAAGAGTTAAAAATGCAATAATTACCTCTATTTATAAGAACGCACTTCACTAATATCTTTTGTCATTTCCAGTTTCCTTTCAACTACCAATCGAGGGACTCTCTTTAATACACACGGGGAGAATAAAAGCCATGGCTTCTAATAGGAAGATATAAATTCATTTTATGGAATCAACATAAATTAATGTACACAGCTTTAAGATAAACACGACATACTTCAGCTAATTTTTCATATTCCACCTTATAAAAACCTACCTGAAATATTCACAATGCTGTATCTCTCTCTTCCATAGTCTAGAACAGTAATCCTTCACTTACCAGAGAATGGCCAAGAAGTATGAAGCACCTGCTATCGGAATCGACCTTGGCACCACCTATTCTTGCGTAGCTGTGTGGCAGAATAATAACAATCGAGCTGAGATTATCCACAGTGATCAAGGCAATAGAACCACACCTTCTTTTGTTGCTTTCACTGATACACAAAGGTTGATTGGTGATGCCGCCAAAAATCAGGCTGCATATAACCCTACCAACACTGTCTATGGTAATTGATATCTTTTTTCTGTTCTTACTTTGTTTATAAATATTTTTATACTTGTTTCTACCTATTTTCTATGCTTTCCTTAGAGAAGAACAAATTATACATGCCAAACATTTTTTATTTATGCAGATGCAAAGAGGTTAATTGGAAGGAAATATAGTGATTCTATTATTCAGAATGATATAAAGTTGTGGCCCTTTAAGGTCATTGCTGGTGCTGATGACACTCCCAAGATCCTTGTTAAGTACAAGGGTGAAGAGAAGTGCTATGTTGCAGAGGAAATATCATCTATGATCCTCTCAAAGATGCAGGATATTGCAGAGAGATTTTTGGAATTACCTGTAAAGAATGTGGTGATTACTGTGCCTGCTTATTTTAATGATTCTCAGCGAAAAGCCACCAAAGATGCTGGCCTTATTGTTGGCCTTAATGTAATGCGAATAATCAATGAACCAACTGCTGCTGCACTTGCATATGGCATTCAAAAGAGAGGTGATTTTGTTGGAAAACGAAATGTATTCATCTTTGATCTTGGTGGTGGCACTTTTGATGTGTCTCTTCTCACACTTGAGGGTAATAGCTTTGAAGTAAAGGCCACTGCTGGCGATACTCATTTAGGAGGAGTGGACTTTGATAACAGAATGGTATACCACTTTGTTGAACAGTTAAAGAGAAAGAATAATGTTGACATTAGTGGGAACCCAAAAGCTTTAAGGAAGCTGAGAACTGCTTGTGAGAGGGCAAAGAGGGCACTTTCGTTTGACATTGAGGCCGCAATTGACATAGAGTTCCAGGGTATTGACTTCTTTTCATTAGTTACTCGAGCCAAATTTGAGCAAATCAACATGGATCTCTTTGAAAAATGTATGCAGATTGTTGGGAGTTGTCTACGCGATGCTAACATGGTCAAGAGTAGTATAGATGATATTGTCCTTGTCGGGGGTTCTTCTAGAATTCCCAAAGTGCAGCAGCTATTGCAAGACTTTTTCAAGGGAAAGGATTTGTGCATGAGCATGAATCCAGATGAGGTTGTTGCTTATGGTGCAGCTGTGCAGGCTGCTTTGCTAATTGAAGGCATCGAGAGTGTTCCAAATTTGGTTTTGCAAGATATTACACCATTGTCAAATTTGGTTTTGCAAGATATTACACCATTGTCTCTTGGTATATTGACAAAAGGCGATATCATGAATGTGGTGGTTCCTAGGAACACTCCTATTCCTGTCAAGATGACAAGGGAAAGATTTCAAACAAGTGTTGACAACCAATTTGGCGTCTCAATTAATGTGTACGAGGGCGAGAGAAAAAAAGCCAGTGAGAACAACTTGCTGGGTTTGTTTGGTCTCATAGTTCCCCGTGCTCCTCGTGGCCTTAGTATTAAAGTAAGCTTTGCTATAGATGCAGATGGTATACTAAATGTAACTGCTGAGGAAGAAACATCGGGAAGTAAGAAAGAGATTACAATAACAAATGAAAATGGAAGACTGTCAACTGAAGAAATTGAGAGAATGATCCAAGAAGCTGAGGGTTTTAAGGTTGAAGATATGAAGTTCCAAGAGAAAGCTAGGGCAATGAATGCTCTGGACAATTATCTTTACAAGATGAGTAAAGTAATGAAAGATGAAAGTGTTAGTTCCATGCTGACTCCTGCAGACAAAATGAAGATCAATTCTGCAATTATGAGCGGAAAAAATTTGATTGATAATCAGTGCAACCAACACCAAGAAACATGTGTGTTTGTGGACTTCATGAAGGAGCTTGAAAGCATATTTGAATCCATGTTGAACAAGATCAACAAAGGGTTCTTACTCTTATGAGGAAAGTAATTTGGAATATATTAGTTTTTTTATTTGTGTTTGCCAATTTCAGTTTTCTCCTATGAATATTGGTCATACCAAAACATATATATTTTGGTGCATCAGTAAACTCATATTACTACTCAAAAAGAAAGTTGCATAATCATTTTCACACTTCAAACAGTTACAAAGATCAAAGCCAGTACAATATTAAAAACAAAACAAAACAAAAAATGATCATAACAAAATAGTGTAATAGCAAAAGGTATGCCTTAATATTATGATATAAACAAGTAAGACAACTTAGATATATTACTGCAATTCCTAAAAAGGGTTATCAGTTGGAATTTCATACTCTTGCATCCTTCATAAGTTGATCAGCAGCATGTTCTTGTGTTTCTCTTTTCGTATCAAAGCCACCTAGATTGCTAGATTTGCTGATATTCTACAAACAACTTATTTTACTTGTAGAATAAACACTGCGACTCACTTTTTTCTTTCAATAAAACTATAAGTTGTGGGTCTTAAGACTTGACATTATCCTCAGATGAACTCACAGGTAACCTTGACCATGATACAGATTCCCTGGACTCAATGATCCTTCTACGAATCACTATGGATAAGCTTAACACAATGCATACAGCAGCCACCATAGTAAGAAAAATACCAGTATTTCCACGTGACCGGCGGCTCTTAAGAACAAAATCAGCACAAACATCTCCATCAAGACTCTTGTATCGATTGTTCAACTTCATAACCTCAACAGCATTCAACATACCTACAATGACGTGCGGAAGACTGCTCTTTGAAGGACCTATACCAACACTCAAAGCCCCTACACTACTCTCTCCATCGACAACAAAGTCAACATAATACGGGGAAGCCAGCGAACTCGTAACATAAGAGATATCCAAATCTTCAAGAACCAAATAACCATTCACATATACATTGAAATATAATAAACCACCTGAAATGCTAGCAATATCACAGAAATGCAACCTAACGAGATACTTATATCCACCCATAATAGGAAAAACCCAAGTCATATTAACATTCGGCACAGAATCATTCTTACTTCTAATCAACCTAGCAGTGTTATAGACATTATCCGGTCCAACCTCGCGACTAGCACCTCCAACATGATAATTGATCCTACCACCAAAGTAAAACTTCTCAGACCCAACACTTGATTTGAGAAACTCTTCATCAGGAACCCAAGTCCTCCACAAGGAATCATTAAAAGGCGTAACTTTAGGACCTCCAACAGTGACCCTATACACAACCTCAAGAGCTTGCTTGTTCAAATCATGAAAACTCTTCAAATTCCCTGAAGTCATCAAATACTGTGCTGTTTCAGGAATAAGATCTGTAGGTGCAGAAATCACCTCAATAGCATTGACAAACGCAAAGTCCGAATCTTTACTAGGTACAAACACGATCACAAGCTTTTCAGAATCAACCCATATAAGATACTCAACCACCCTAGGGTTTCTTGTACTGGAAGCAACAAAACGAGTGAAATCGCTCAAAACAACATACCCATCAACCAAGATGTTAAATTTAGCGCGACCCAGGTCGAGATTCGATGAATTGAAGGCGTGAAAATGGAAACGGATGATGTGGGTACCTTTTTGTTTGATTGGAAATGAGTATTTTGTAGGTTTAGTGAAAACCCTGGCGGTATGGTAGATTTGGGGTAAATTGGGAAGTGGGTTTTGGTTTTTGATGAAAAGGGGGTGTGAGGAAGTGGAAAAAGAAAGGGAGTGTTCGGCGGTGAAAGGACGGTTGTTGAGGAGGGTGGTGGGGGAGGTGGAACCGGAGTTGATGAGGTAGTTGTCGGGAGGGGAGAAGAGGTGGGAGAAGACGGAGAGTGTGGAGAAGGAAAGGAAGAAGAGGAGAGAGAAGAGGTTTTTCATGGTTGGTTTGTGGTTGTGTGGAAGATGTGGGATGAGGAGAGGAAGAAGAAGAAGATGGAGGAGAAGACTGACCTGGCAAGACGAGTCGAGTGGGACCCACACGTTGTCGGAAGTTACATGCTGTTGGAATCACTTTGTTTCTTTTTCATTGATGCATTCCATCTAGTCACTCTCGTTGTTCTCCTTACACCATTTCCAAGAACTTTCTAAGTTCATTTAAATATATGTGTTCTCCACATCGATAAATTTAATTTGTTTTATAGAAATAGAGTATTTCTTAATGACTGTCGTGACATCAAATAAAATTTATTTTAAATTGATTGTAAATTTTATTTATTACTTATTTTTACAATTGTGTTATTTAATTATTATTATGTATATTATTTTTAATTAAATAATAAAGTTAATTTAGTAAAAAGTAATATCTTATGATAATATTATTATATTTTTTAATATGTCTGAAAAAACTTAAATGACAGTTATTTTGAAATAGAGGGAATAATTTCCGCAATTACAAAGATTAATGGTTAAGCTAAAAGAAATCTTTACCATCTTATACAAGTAGTTTTTTCGGCCATAAATTTGATCCCTCCCGTTAGTATGGAATTGTTTCATCTGCGAATGTGGATTGGTTTTGTTTTTATTTGACGACGTGGGTCAACAGATAACATTGAATAAAACATGAAAATTCAAATTTCTAAACCATTTCATCACTTCACGAAATTCAAACCAAAACCCCAACTCATTTTCTTCTCTTCCACCTCTGCGTGTGTGCTTATGGTCCCATCTTGTGGCTCTTTCCAGTTGAAATTTTGTTGGAGCGTCGTTCCTTCTAATTTAAAGCAATATTTATGGTCTTATTTGATCTTACCGGTTGATCAGAACCTGCAAGTTGGCTGGAGGATGATCTTTGACGGGCTGGAAAGTTGAGGAGAAAAAAAGGTTGTATCTGCAAGACACTCCGACGATCAAGTAAGTGTGGGAGCAAGGAGATACAAGCAAAATATTAGAGTTTCGGAGATGAATAGTGAATACCTGGCCCTCACAAGTGTGGGGATTTATATAATACCCCTGACGCATAGCCATTGATTCTTATTTTTGGGCTTAGATATTCGGGTCCATGAAAATAAGAACTTCCAGGACTCGGTCGAACCGGGCAGAGTGCCCGCAACTAGCAATTGGTCCCAATGAGGAGGTATGTTACGGGCAATGATCTGGTCAGTTCCTGATTGTCTGGACGACTTGATGTCGGGCAGACGAAGAAGTGTCTATCGGACGCCGCCGGTCTCACTGGTCTATGAGGGCAATTGGCCGGTGGTGCCCGACGGAGGGCGAGGAACTTCGGGCCATGGTCGTGCTGAAGGTGGAGTATAGACTGGGTCCACTCTATCCGTTGGACCAGTCCAGAACATTATCTTTTCGAATATTGGGGTTTTTTACCCATTATTTTACTTGTATTGTTACTGAACGTCGTATGTTTTAGGTTGTGTAAGAACAAGATTTGGATATGTGTTTAATCTCTAAGTTTTTATGATAACAAGCATATATTTTATGCAGAACAATTTTAGTTCTAATGGTTTCATTGAGTATGCAGATACATTGTTAGTATTTTGGATAGTCTTAATCAAGATATCATCATAATCACATTACCACTCAGAAGAAGAACCATTGAGTTCTATTTCTAATGTAACATTAGTAGTTATATGGAATGTTGAATGTTCGACAAGAAAAGAATCTCAAGTTTCCAAGAAGAATTTTTTTTTAATAAGTTGTTGCTTCAAGATCATAAATCAAGAGAAAACAAGAAGCAAGCTTCCAACCCAGAAGATCAGAAGTCAAGATTAGTTCATTAGAAGATTTGGTGCTTATGATTCTAAAGGCGAAGTCAAGATTCTAAACACATATATAGAAAGCTTCTACTCCAAGATCAGAAGTCAAGATTTAATCATCAGAAGAGTTGTTGCTCATGTATCTGAAGACAAAGTCAAGATTCTGAAGACTCGGAGAAGTTCATGGAATACGCACCTTCATTCAACATCAGAAGTATTCCACCAGAAGAAAGGATTAAAGAAAGAAAGATCTTGTAGACTAATTTCTAATCAACATCTCAAAGCCCATCAGAAGACAAGATCAAAGGATGATATCTTCTCAAACCAATCTAATCAGCAGAAGTAATATTCATAAGAAGGCAAATATCATCAGAAGAACCATTGCACTCAATAGAAGAACTATTGAGACTATTTCTATATAAACATCAGCAGTTCTACAAAATGTTGAATGTTCATCAAAAAGGGAATCAAGTATGTTCTCAGGAAAGCGTTGCTCTCAGATTAGAAAACATATACACTTCCATCCAAAGAAAGAAAATAGTTCATGATCAAACAACTCCATGGTTAGGTAAGGTAAAGTGGGGGACTACTTCATGGTTAATGAGAATTTTGAATAGGTCGTGTCTGTCTCCCCTCACTAAACTATAGTTTAAGAAATGTTCAATATTTAGCAAGTTATAACCAAAGGTGGGGGTTAGGTGAGCTACACGATTGCGTAGGCCTAGGGCTATAGCAATATGGGTAACTAATCCACCCACATAAATATTCACTATAGTCTAGTTAGCATCCTTGTTAAGATTTTTCCGTAGGAAGGTTGCAGAGTTTATAGGGCAGTCTGGGAAAATACTTAGGATGAAAAACATCTCCTCTTTGCTCACACAAGTTTGGTTTTCATCTTTTCTAAAAAATATTTGGGCAGCGACCATACGAAAGTACATAATAGCAGGGTTATGGATGAGAGTGTTATTCATAGCTTCATGATCATGGGGAAAATCATCAGTGATTTCTCCCTAGAAATAATCTAGTTCACGTTGCATATCATCAGGGACTTCTGAATAAGCATTAGGACTATGCTGAAATACAAGGGATTTGGCTAACTCTCTACTGGTAAGATGATAATTCAGGCCAAACAATCTAAAGGTAGCTAAACATGTGTTTTGTCTTATTTTAACATGGGGCTGAAAACAGAATGAACTTAAGAATTCCAGTGTGAGGTTTCTGCAGGTTGGGCGTTTTGCTACTGAAAACCTATCCTAACTCATCTGGCTAAACATAAAACGGACACTGTTAGCAAGTCCTAGTTGGACCAAAGAAGGAAAATTCGGGTAGCGAGTAGGTGAGATGGTTCTCTTAGCTAGGATATTAAATCACTTCCTTTGGTTATCATTTTTGAAAATGATATGCAAGTCATCAAATGGTTGCATCCTGAAATAATATTAGTGGATAAAATTTGGCTAAGTAGAATGCGGTAGCCCTGAAAAGGAAACATACACAAGTTAGATATTTATTGACTGAAATTAAAACAACCACTATGAAAATGCAAATCCTTGGGTTGCCTCCCACGCAGCGCTTCGTTTAACATCAGTAGCACGACGGCTCAAGAGTGTAATCATGGAGGTTCTTTCGAGAATGATTCATTGGTCGAACTTTAAATGATCTTAGGTTTCCATGGCCACTTATCGAGCCATCTCTCATATCCCTCACATTTTATTTTCTTCCTTTTGTAGGGTTGTTCATGCTTTTGAGGTTGTAGGGGTGGTTCAGGTTCTATCCTGAGTATTAGCTTTTCAGGTTTGGGTTTATTTCCTTCATCCACCACCTTAAAGGTTGACTTTCCCCTCTTAACACTAATAACTTCCCTAGTTTCATGGTCTTCTGATTTTCTCTTTTTACGTAGGATCTTAGACAAAAGTGCATTGGTGTGGATATTTTCCAATACCACAACATACCTTTTGGTTTGGGAATCTACCTTAGTTTCCACAAAACTTTGTAGGAAAATAATAGGTGGGTTGTAGGGAGGAATAATAACATAAGGTGTTTTCTTCTTTACCTCTTCGAAAACCTCCCTTTCGGATGGTGTCAGTAGATTTTTCTCAATCTCTACTCTTTTCTCACCATAACTCTCCTCAACCTCATTATCACTCTTCTTAGGATTTTTGACTTGTTCTTCATTATTAGTTGTTGCAACATTTGCATGTCTTTCAGGGAAGTTCCTAGAGGTGTCTCTGTAAGCAGAGATATTTGAGTTTCCAATGTCATGTTGTGAGTCACGGGGGACTCGACCATAGTGTTCAACTGCCAAAGGGTTTCATTATTATGGAGACTTTGCATTCTGAATTCTTTATTATAGAGAGTTTATGTTGCCAGAAACCTCCTCCACATGGTTTCTAGCCTACATCGAGCTTGTGTCTCAATGAAATTCTCCATTATCATTTCGAGGTCAGATTTATGGGAATCTTGTGGTTCCTCAAAAAACTAGAAGTGGTAATTGTAGAATTTTTTTTGGTGATACATAGTAATAGAGACAAGAGTGTCTTAATCTATACGGTTCAACAACAGAGTTATGATATTTGACGTGATTGGTCCCCAACAATGGCGCCAAAAACTTGATGGGGATATTTCGCAAGTCTACAAAATGTATCAAAGTAATATAAAAAGTATCGAATCCACAGAGATCGAATAGTCAAGCTATCATTTTCTATCGTTACAGTGTTTATCTAAGGCTAATAAAATAATATTAGAGTTTTACAAATAAAGTAAATAAAAGACTTGAATTAATAACATAAATGTAATGTTGGAATATGGATCTCATCAATTCATTGGTACTCTTGTTGTTCATAAATTGAATTTCTATGGGACAATATTTTCTACTTTGAAAAGAACTAATTGAACAGGAACGGTCACTTTCACGTATTCAGAACTGAGTTTTATTCTCTAAATTATACCGTCCACTGTCACGGTGGCAAGCGTTGTTTGCATTAAAGAAATAAAACATATTTTAAGAAATTAGACTCTTTACTCAAATGAAAAGTAATCTTGATTTGAAAGTTTTACTTAAAAGGGTTCCATGCTTTCACTCAGGGTAATCGGATCTTAAAATCTATAAATGGCGAACTTTCGTAAATAGTTTTAAAATCACTTTCTAGAAATATTATAGTCTCCTAAATAATT